AAAATACTGAGGCTATTTCTGTTTTCGGTAATGGAGTATGCACTTGAGACGCCTGCGAGCACTGCGTCACTGCAGGCTCTGCAAAGCCAGGTCGGTGAATAGAACTGGACTGACAGGAAGTTCGGTAGTCTGCTGCAGAGAGTGGTTAGGTGGTGTAGGATGAAGCCATGAAGCACCGGTGTCCAGAAGATGGACTTCGAAATTTTAAGTTGTTTACTGAAGTCGCACGTGAGCAAGTCATAGAGAAACATGAAAAATTGGGCTTTCATAATTAAGATTCTTATATCCGTCGACGACATCGCTTAACAACCCATAAAGCATCACAATTTTACTCAGCATACCGTACAGTCATACTGGCTGGGGGCTACCCAAGACGAATCATTTTGGTTCTGCAGGTCAAACAGTCAAATGGGATGTTTCTGTTAAAAAATATCCCCAACTTACTCGTCAACGCCTAGCAAACGACGCCACGAGCCTGACTTTGCTAACGCAAGTGTACCCACCGGCTTAGTAACTCTAATGTCCTGCTGTTGAGACCCGCTGAGGTTCCATACTGCAACATAACCGCAAAATGGACAGAACATCAGGCCCTCTAATGGTGCCCAGAATTTTGGATGGTCTAGAATCAAGGTTGATGCCTTTCAAGCTCTTGACTGTAGTTTTGGCCTTATACAGTCTAGCAGACTCTTTTCCAGTGTCCAATGTAACAACGTGAAAGGCCGTCCGATTCCGTACCTTTTACGTAGCTTAGCAAGCGCAGACCGCGGCGAACAAACATATTTCAAGTTTTACGTAGATCTATCATCTGGAGCACTCGAGCATTTGGCCCGTCCAATGAATGTGCATAACCTTTTACAGGTAAGTTGGGGGATGTTGATCGATAGACTTTGGCGAGTAGAGGATATTGATCGAGGTCTAAGATATGACTTTGGCGTATTTCCCATGTTTCTTGCTGTGCAAATGTGTAGACAATGGGATGCAGAGGTATCCAGGTATCGTGGTGTGTCAATGACCCGCTCAGGTGTCCTGGAGTATTTTTTGGAATAGTTCGTTGATTTTACTGGGAAAAGCTTCCACTTGTGACTAATTTTCTTCATCCTTTTCCATTGATTGCAAAGCGAATAAGGACGAAATTACTGAGTTCTGTCAAATCAACCTCTTTGTGCTGATTCCTTTAGATGGTTTGACTCCCGTACGAATTCGATTCTGGTTCCATGAATCCCAGGAATCTGGCGTGAGTAATTTTTACTCCGGGCCCCGAGGAATTATTTTCTCATTCCAATGTATATTTTGGTAAACATTTGGTAATCCAGAATGAATTAAGACTCGTGCATCACTTCTGAGGTTAGAATATCATCAAGATATCCATCGCACAGCGATATACGGTTAGGAATTCACGTCTACAACTGTTATGACTTCAGCTGATATTTTAATGCTATCCGTTTCAAAACGAAACATTTCCACCATATTAATTTCACCAGCATGCGTCCCGATATTATTTCGGTTCCAAAATGACTCAGTAACCACTCAGAGATATGGTCTAAATATTATTGAAATCGTTCTTAAATCAAATGCCTCATCGAAAAGTTAGTCTTTTCCTCGTGCAAATGCGGCATTGTGGCGAAGATTCTATCGAACATCAGCACTGACAACTGTCTCTTCCGAGATGGTTTACTATGGTACATGTAACTGAATGCGATGAAGTTTACCCAGTAGCTTTCAAAGTTCACCGTGGCAAGAATGGATCGATGAAGCTCCCTCTTGATATCTAGAATTCAAGTAGCGGAATACATGTGGCGCCTGACTGATTTGTTTTGTTTTGTGAAAATGCTCCCCCTTCTTTTCATCAGTACTGAAAATAGAGGCTTGCTCTGGGTACCGTATCCTCAGCCCCCGATCTCAAGTCTTGGCGGACAAAAAGTAAGGATGCTGACGTAGTCAGTCCTAGTTGAGCCCAGTTCCTTATATAGATCCAAGGTTTACCCCTGTACAGCACCAATCAACGGCTGATATCTTTCTAATTGACCAGTTAAGGATCCATTTTCTATGCTTCTTAATAACAACATACCGTTGCTCCATGCAGAAACCTCACAACTATTCCCATTTAGCTCTGATGCAGCTGTGAGTGTTCCTGTGATGTAATAGAGACTGTTGTATTAATGTGGCGTATGGGTATTTGACTGCGGACATCTGCCACATAAAGAAACTAGACCGTTCAATTTTTGTGTCTACTTCTGGCCTTAGAACGCAGACCACTGTTCATCAATTTTGCCAAAAATAGTGCTTTGTAGCTACAGAAACATTGCGCTGTGATCTATAAACTCAATAGTGCAAACTGGTGTCCAGAAGGCTAATGAGTAATGACTAGACAGGGCAAAACAGCTGGCACGACATTAACAAGACGAATGGTAGGCCAAGACAGGTATTATTTAAGATGAGGCGGTCTTTTTTAAAATAGTCATAGCATGGAAATCCTTCAGGTTATTTTGACAGAGATTTCCGGAATCAGATAGCACCTATGTCATGGGACTTACCTTTATGAGAGGTCTTTATATTGAAGTAGTTATACATTTATATTTACAAGTGTAACAGAGGCTTCTGTTATTTTTAGCCGCTGAATAATCTTCGTGCAAGTTGAGCATTTCAGCCTATCTTAGGTTTCCGGAGAAAGTAACAGTATGCAAGCGTGATTCCTAGACAATATCTCATTCAACAATAAATAATATTGTGCTCGGTTCAGAAGATAAATCTTCCGTTACATTTCTTTCCAAAAAAGTCGCTTCCAGTGAATAAGTTTTATGCTTGAACAACAGTTGTTACAAAGTTCCATTAGTGGCGTTTGTCTTTTTCTCTCTCGAAGAATTACAGTTTGCTGTGTCGGACAAAGTTGGAGGTGAAAGTGAGGCTATTCACAATCACCAAAATAATCTTAATAATATTTATGAAGTTTCTTGTCTGAATGATTCTCCAATAATCCTTTTCATCATTTACCTGAATGTTCTCATGGACCGTAAATCGCACTCAGGTCAGAATTGTCATTCTTTGCTTACCATGGTGTTGCTGGATGACGTTATCCACTGCGACTCAGGTTCTGCTGCTCACGGGATAAGGTGATCTTCAGGGAAAGTTGGAACTGTGGAGCGAGAGCAAAATAAATAAAATCAGGTTTTCACTAAGTGACAGCAACCGTTAACGACTGGTTACACTAGCATGAACATCCATTTTGCATACACGGTGAATAGTGAAAGCTAATCTGAGTGAAATATGAGGGACACAGAAAGTGATTTTTTAGAAGTCCACAGGAGACACAAGGTAGCACTAATATCAACTTAGCTGTAAACTAGGACAAAAAATATAACTTCCAAGATGATGTATGCAGCAACAAGAAGCGTGTAAAAATGTGGAGCATATGTACCGGTGCGGTTTTATATGCTACCCTATTGTTGTTTTGTGCACTTGGGATCGATTGCGTAGATTTATGCCAGGAATTTTGCGGTGATAAGCGATCAGAAAGTAGAATATTTACTATCTAAAATTACGTCAAAATATAGAGGTTTGCTCCTACGGTTGATTCTATGCTGCTGTCTCCAAAAGCAAGTGTGTTTTAGTAAAAAAGTTGACCATTTTGTAATCAAGCTGAGCAGTAAATTTTTCACGAAAATTTACTTGTAACAATGTATCGGTAAGCCCCGTTTACGGGTCAGCCGAATGTGAATTCTGCGTGCCTCTTGTAGGGAACTAGACGTAGCACACTCCACAGGATCCACCTTTTTCTCTCTTCATTTAGATTAATTCTACTCCTAAAGACATCAAAGCTGTTTCATGAACTTAAAAGCAGAACTGGATTCACTTCAATCATCACGTTTTAGTGGGCCCTAAGAAATTACCCTGTAGAACACATAGGAGTGTTACTAAATGTTTAAAATGCATTTACACCTCATGCTCATGATGATTTTACTTAATGAAAGCATTCTACCACAGCACAGTTGCGACTAATTCTATGCCGAAGTAACTAGCTGTCTACTGATGTGTGCTTATATCGATTCGATAGCCAGAACTCAGCTGTTTCGTTGACAAGTGCTTAGGATGAATTACTGGCCACAAGTTTAGGACAAGGTTTTGATGGGTAAGAGAGAGTAGCATCCTGGACCAAATATACCTTCACTTAGTCATCTAAAAGCAGCATCTGATCTCTAGTATTATTTGATTGCCATGCACACCATCATTACATAGATAGGGATTGATCCATTTCTAACAAGACGGCACCGAATGATACATCCCCCGGGAATGATCCTCTCAGGTTTCAAGGTCGTGTAATCCATCAATAGGGTGACTATTATAACAAACTACAAGACAATGGATCTGTTTGCAAAGTTAGTATTTCACGACTGGCTATTGCCTTTATTACCACCAGCTTTTCGCCATTACAGGGATTTGTACGGTTTGCTTAGCTCTTTGCCATCCAACTTCTTCCTCTAACGGTTTTCTGTTCACTACTCAGCCGGCTAGTCTCATACACATAAAGCTTTGTAGGCAAAATATTTACAGCGCCATACACTTACTTACAGAGGAATATAACTGTATTCACTAGATGCAGTGTGGAGAATCCAAAACACACGCTTTTGTAGGCCAGGTGTACAAGCACGTAAATGAAGATCGTCTTTTGGGAAGTCATCTTACTTTCTATAACTCTTCATCTGTCAAGTATCTTCGGAGAAGCCCAATATGACTTAGAAACATCGGACGGAAGTTTATGGCAAGGCAATTTCACATTGGTCTAACTGTACCAAGTTGTACGGAGGTTAGCAAAATAGCGGACGCGTGAAACTAAAGGAAGCGGTTCCATAGAATTGCAAAGTAATCTTGACATCAAAATAGCCACGCTGATTTCATTTCAAGTGGTCGCTGAAACACGTGTCAACCAATAACCCATTGATCAGTCAATGTATGTAATTTGAACCTTTTTCACATTTACACTTTGTCCAATATACTGAGACAAGTCAATTGCCGTGCAAGCCTGTTTGATCCAGATAAGACACGAACAGTTCATGCAGGTGACGAGAAGATGCTTGTGTTACCATTAGCGCTTGGCAAAATTCTGTCCGGAAAATATTTGGAACTAAAGAGAAGACACCAGTTATAATTAGACTGCAAGCAGCGTCAGCTAATTAGAAGCTTCCGGTTATCCAGTGTGCCCACGTCTAGGAAAAGTAGTTGAATTAAATGAGGCATATGGTGTGTCATATTAACCACTTGTTCGCTTAGCCGCTTCAACTAACTCTGTAGTAAAACACGAGAAAACTGACGCGCACAAGCAAATTCGCGCAAGTACAGAGTGTGAAGTGTTGGCCCGCGCCTAATAGTAAGGGGCTGAGTATTGGAGTAGTTTTATTTAAAACCTGAGCTGTCACAGAAATGCAGGCATGAACGGACCATAAAATGACGAGAAAGTAGTGACAGCTAGACTTCCACCAAAGGACAGGATAGATACTCGGTCTATTCTAACGTCTTGTAAGCTGCTAGCCGTAGGCAAATTACAGAGCAAATGCTCATGGGTGCATCCATGCGGAATTCAGTTTACTTTCTAGAGACAACGTTTTGACATCAAGAACTAGGGACAACTCGAATTCTTCCTGCAAATCATTGTCGAAAATCGTCAGGTTGTTGCTTTATTAGTTTGCAGTATGTGGAATCATGGAGGGAATACGTGGCGAAAGGGTACTTTTGCTGAGAAGCGATCAGGCGAACAAAGTTGCACGGTATGGCTGCAGCAATGTTTGAATAGAAATTTGAAGAAGCAGTAGGTCGTGCTCTATACACCTATCTTATCTCAAGCAGGGTCTGAATAGCTGACGGTACATGTCGGGTTTTCGCCCATTGGGTTATCCTATCACTGGGTCACACTTCCTCAAAAGTTGACCGTTAATTTTTACCTCAAAAGATCAATTCTGCACGAGTTATTGGAGCAATGATGAACAGGAATCAGTTGCAAATTTTTCAAGCGTTCCCAGTGGTGAGGCTGATAAGCTCATATGTATGGCTGGCGCCGCAAGCCAAATTGGGTTTCATAGGGATGTAACGTTGGGCACATTGAAAAAATGTTGTTGGAAAACAGGCAACCTTCTTTGCTTTCATAAAAGGTTGTTTTCAAGGCATACCATTTTGTTTGTGCAAGGTATCAGTGATGAACTCCAGTTAAGATTGAACGCATTTTGATGTACCCGCAAGCTTGTCATGCTCAATGCACTGTCATCACCAGTTAAGATTGAACGCATTTTGATGTACCCGCAAGCATGCTCAATGCATCTGTCATCACCAGCGGATACTTTTCGGTGGTTATCTGTACAAAACAGATGTTGTTTTTTGGGTGACGTCAAGCGGATCGGATAGTACTCGATCAACCGCTAGTTTGTGATGCGGCGTAAAAATTGTTTTAACCCTACTGAAAACCATCGGTGTCTGAATAGCACTTTCCTTGGTCACAAAATTCGTTCCCACACATTTCTGGAACATTCTAACGGGTAAACCGGCCACCGGTTTTTCTTCGCGTTGTATTTGTTTGACGTTTTCGACGTTAGTACGGTGAGCGGCATTGTGACCAACCATGACCAGTTCACGTTTCGACAACATACGAGCCTACAATATGAACTAAAAATATTTGACTGTGATCCTTCATCCGTGTTCCACTCATGGTACCTAATCAGGATGATTCTTTCCGGGTGGGAGGAGGAATCGAATAAATAATAATGGTTGAACTTCATTAGAGTCGAATGTTGGTTGATTTCATGATAAATATATGTTATTTTTGTATTATATATGTTACACCCTTATTTGATTCCGTTTAAAGTTTGGTGATTGCACAACCAGTGATAAACACGGAATGAAACATAAATGTCTATTTTTAAATAAGCACTTAAATCACACATTGCATGTCAGGTGGCTCTAAAATCAGTTTGCTGTTGCTCACCATTTATTTTTCCTACTCCTTTTAAGCCTCTTCAAATTTGATATCAAAAGCAAGGTGCATTGTATGCTGTAAATCAGGACACCTAACTCTCTTTTATGACCTGTGGCTCTAAAATCAGTTTGCTGTTGCTCACCATTTATTTTTCCTACTCCTTTTAAGCCTCTTCAAATTTGATATCAAAAGCAAGGTGCATTGTATGCTGTAAATCAGGACACCTAACTCTCTCTTTATGACCTCATGTTGGCAAACCGGCAGTAGAAACTTGCCCAAAAATATGACGTTCAGCTGGCATCTTGTGCTCATATGTGCCACCGGAATGTTTGGAATGTAACCTGAGAGATCAATTTGTTGTTCCACGCAGTTCATAATAGCCATCGACTTATATCTTTCTCACAGACACTATAAAATTTGTGACCGGTCTGGAGTGGTATTGCTAGATTAAGCCAGTGTATCCTAAAGCAATGTTTACTTACAACAGATTTTAGGGGACGGATAAGCAATGCATAGACCTGAAAGGTGGTTTAGGGGCAGCTTAATCCATCGTTCATTAACCACAGTGATTTGAGGCTTCTAAAATGAGACACGATTATTTTGTAAATATGCCTCAGGACACGATCAGTAAAATAACCCGTGGATTCATTGGTTTTCTTGACCAAGTTTGCCCCAATCACAACGTATCTTTTGATGCTCGTCTGGAAGATCTTAAGAAGAATATCTTATCGTTTGTGATACAGTCAGTTTATAACAAATTTTATCCAGCTATGTTAACCATTCAGCTTACCACTTAACTTTCGCGAGCAGCTGAACTCTGAACTATGCCTGTTGTTCGTTGCGGAAGACTAGGCTAAAAAGCGGGAAGGCTGACTTTTGAAAGGGATTTAACTGTGGATCATCATCATCATCATCATCGACAGCATGACATCAGTGTTCAACATCAATGCTTCACTGATGTACAACAATGATTTATTGAAAGCCTTATTGTAAAGAAAAGCGTAAAGGTGGACAGGGAAGGGATTTAGTGCAACCTACTTACCACAATCATTCCGAGTTGCCTACACCTCCAGACACTCACTCAGGCGATCTGGATGGAAACTGACAACAAGAACGCCCCTGACATCGGTTGGCAGCTATATCTTGTAGTGTCTACAACTGGGCACAGTGAGGATCACGCGGTCCCCATCCTGAAAGGCGAGTAGCACCGAGAGCACTCAAGCGTTTCGTGATCTCCTTCATACTCCTTTGCCAGGTCATGGGTTGGCCACCTCTCTGTTTACGCCACTCTGAATTGGGCATGGAAAACAGCACTCTTTTCGGCAAACGATGGTTCGGCAT